TTATTAAGAATTATGAATGCATCTTCCCATTGAAGCAAAGTTATCATGGATGAGTCAGTTCCTGTATGTATTTTAAAATCTGTTTCACATTCCAGTGGAAGCTCTTAGAACTCAAGCTGCTTGGCATCTTCAGGAAAGAAGTGAAAAGAAACCGGGATAGAGTCATTTGTGGGCACAGTGCCTATAGACACATTGTAGACATTCAGTAAAAGTTGAGGAAGTGTTTCTAGGAATAGATGGTTGGAGGGAGAGAAGGAAGAAAGAGGGAATAAGTCTGTGTCTAACATGAAGTTGCCTCTAATTGTTCTAATAAAAGTGGGTTGTATTCAGGGACTGGAAACATTTCAGAATTCCATGTATTTATTGTCCAACCCCTGAATCCTAAAGTGGTGAGCAATTTGAGAGTCATTTAAAATGAGTAGTTCAAAAAGGAAATAGACTGTTCTGAATAACATGTAATAACCGGTTATTCCGTGGAACTGTAGAATTTAGTGTGAAGGTAATTGAGCTGAATATGTGGTCTTCAAAATATACTATAGAATGTTCTGTTTATTTTTGATCCTCGTTGTTAGCTTTTCTAATGATTTATATCTTTTACCTTGCGTAGGGAAAACTAGTTTTAACTGAGACTTCACACTGCCATCACCTAGGAATACCTTATTCGATTTTAGTGACCAAAGGCTTTTCCAGCAGCAAAAATGGTGTTTGTCCAGTTGTTACACAAAGAGGCACTGGAACCTCCTACCTGGACTGGGGGAGAATAAGTTGACCTGCTGAACAAAGTCATCGCTGATTATATATACCTGATCTTTTAGAACAATGGAAAACTCAATACTTTTCACAATTTGTGTTGTAGCAACAATCTATATTATGCATCAGCTCTGTGCCTGGCAATAAGCTAGGCACTTTTCATGTAAAGAGATGAGCAAAATAGCCACAGCCCTTGCCCAATTTGAGCAATTAGCCAGAACTATATTCTATGATTTATAATGTTGAGGATAAAACATCTTATAAAGGTATTTCATTAAAGTTTATGTAAGTCTCAAACTCAGAAGATAATAAACTTTTCATGATAGTCCCAAGAAACTTGAGATATATTAATATTAAACATTTCTGGATGGCAGTTTGATTTACAACGTAGTTTAATATTGACATAAAATACCATTTTGAGGAAACACTAGGGTGATATCAATCTCAGTGCTTAGAAAACTAATTTAGATAATAGAACTAAATAACAAAAACAGATTCAAGAGAAATTGAAATTCATTGTAGGGAACCACTTTTAGATCCACAAGATGGTGATGACCTACCCTTGGGAGCAAGACAAATGTCCCATTACTGATACTTGACTAAATTTTCACTTTTTTCTCATCAGTCCCTTTTGAAATCAGTTAAGAGTGCATCAGATAAAGGAACATAATGAAAGCTCTGTAGAAGATTAGCATGAACTGATTGACTCCTCTCATTGGGAACATGTCCCTCCAGCATGCAGTTGGTTCAAGGTCCTAGAATGTGAATTGCTGTGCCTGTGATGAAGAAAAGGCAAATCCCGCACGAAAGTGAAGTTCAGGGAGTTCTTACTGAATCTAGGATTTTCAACCAGCAAGAGTTTCATTAACACACTTAATGACTAGGGGAAAATACCAAGGGGTTAACAACTTAAAACCTTAGCACTGAAAGGATTGTTCCCTTCCTCTGTTCCAAGTCCTTTATTTTACAGAGGATGTCTTCAAGCCCAGAGTCACACACCTTTTCCTGTAAATTTAACAAGCACTTCAAAAGCACTTGAATATGTGCTTTTTCTGATTGAAAAAAAAAAAAAAAACAGTACGAATGTTTACAAAGAAAAAAATCCTCATAGTTGTACTCACAGAAATAACTGCTAGCACATTGGTTTTTCTTTTTGTACACTTGTTTCTAAGTGTATATGTGTACGTCGTGTGTGTTGAACACAAAAATGGGATCATGAACTGTTCTGTCACGTAGCACAGTGTTTGGGAACACTGACTTTGAAATCCGTTTATCCTGAGTTTGATCCCAGCTCTTTCAGTTACCAGCATATGTTTATTTATCTGTAAGATGAAGATAATGAGGTACCTGTTCATAGGTTGTTGTAAATAACATAAAGGAAATAATAAAGTGCTTAATCTATCATTTAATAAATGCTTAATAATCCATCCTGTTCCTGTGTTCTACCACACTGTCTCTTTAACTTCATCATTTCCTTTATTGATTACGGGGGAGGGGGATGAGCAGGGAGGCACAGATATGTTTTTATGCACAAATATTTTAATAGATACTCTATAAACAAGGAAAATAGCTAAATTTTTTTCAAATATTTTTCATTCTATCTAACTAACTATATTTTTGTGCCCATTAACTATCCCTACTTTATCCAACCCCCACCCCCACACCTTGCTGCTACCCTTCCCAGCCTTTGGGAACCATCATTCTACTTTCTATCTCCGTGAGATCAATTATTTTTATTATTTAGCTCCCACATTTGAGTGAGAACATGCGAGATTTGTCTTTCGGTACTTGGATATTTCACCCAACATAATGTTTTCCAGTTCCATCCATGTTGTTGCAAATGGCAGGGTTTCATTCTTTTTTACAGCTATATAATATTCCATTGTGTATCTATGTACCACAATTCTTTATCCATTTATCCATTGATGGACACTTAGGTTGATTCCATATCTTGGCTGTTGTGAATAGTGCTGCAGTAAATGTGGGAGTGCAAATATCTTTTTGATACACTGAATTCCCACCCTTTGGATATATACCCTGCAGTGGGATTGCTGGGTCATATAGTAGTTCTATTTTTAGTTTATTGAGGATTCTCCATATCATTTTCCATAGTTGTTGCATTAATTTATATTCCCACCAACAATGCATGAGGGTTCTCTTTTCTCCACGTCCTCACCAGCGTTTGTTATTGCCTGTCATTTCGATAAAAGCTATTTTAACTGGGGTAAGATGGTACTCACTCTAGTTTTGATTTGCAGTTCTCTGGTGACTAATGATGTTAAGCATTTTTATATACCTGTTGGCCTTTTGTATGTCTTCTTTTGAGAAATGTCTATTCAGGTCTTCGCCCATTTTTTAATTGGATTATTTGGTTTTTTCCTATCAAGTTCCTGGAGCTCCTTCTATATTCTAAGTTTCTTTTTCTTTTTCTTTTCTTTTCTTTTCTTTTCTTTTCTTTTCTTTTCTTTTCTTTTCTTTTCTTTTCTTTTCTTTCTCTCTCTCTCTCTCTCTCTCTCTCTCTCTCTCTCTCTCTCCCCCCCCCCTTTCTCTCTCTTTTCTTTCTTTCTTGACAGAGTCTCACTCTGTTGGGGGGAGGGGTTAGAGTGCAGTGGCATCATCATGGGCTCACTACAACCTCAAACTCCTGGGCTCAAGCGATCCTCCTGCCTCAGCCTCCCTAGTAGTTGGCATTACAAGTCCACACCACAATGCCCAGTTAAATTTTCTATTTTTAGTAGAGATGGGGTTCTTGCTCTTGCTCAGGCTGGTCTTGAGCTCCTGAACTCAAGCAATTCTCCTTCCTGCCTTGGCCTCCCAGAGTGCTAGCATCACAGATGTGAGCCACCGTGCCCAGCCTAGTGTCATTGTTAATCCCTTGTCAGACAGGTAGCTTGCAAATATTTTCTCGCATTCTGTGGATTGTCTCTTCTCTTTGTTGGTTGTTTCCTTTGCTGTGCAGAAGCTTTTTAGTTTGAGGTGATCCATTTGTCCAGTTTTGCCTTGGTTGCCTGTGCTTTGGGGTATTACTCAAGAAGTCTTTGCCCATACCAATGTGCTGAAGCATTTCCCCAATGTTTTCTTTTAGTAGTTTCATAGTCTCAGGTCTCAGATTTAAGTCTTTAATCCATTTTTATATTATTCTTGTATATGGCAAGAAATAAGAGTCTAATTTCATTCTTCTGCATATGGATATCCAGTTTTCCTGGCACCATTTCTTAAAGAGACTGTCCTTTTCCCACTATATGTTCTTGGCATCTTTGTTAAAGATAAGTTCACTATAGATGTGTTGGTTTATTTCTGGGTTCTCTATTCTGCTCCATTAGTCAATGTGTCTGTTTTTATGCCAATACCATGCTGGTTTGGTTACTACAGCTCTGTAGTATAATTTCAAGTCAGGTAATGTGATTCTTCCAGTTTTGTTCTTTTTGTTCAGAATGGCTGTGGCTATTGTGGGTCTTTTGTGGTTCCATATAAATTTTAGGGTTATTTTTTTTCTATTTCTGTGAAGAATGTCATTGATATTTTGATGAGGATTGCATTGAATCTGTAGATTGCGTTAGGTAATATCGACATTTTAACAATATTGATTCTTTCAATCCACATGCCTGGAATATTGTTCCATTTTTTGTGTCCTCTTCAACTTCTTTCATCAGTGTTTCATAGTTTTCATTATAAAGATCTTTCACTTCTTTGGTTATATAGCTAAAATTTTATCCTGGCTTGTAAGGCCTTGTATTCTTGATGTAAAAGTCTGTGATGTAAATTTTGTAAAGCAACATTCCATTCAAAACTGACCTCATTAATATTTGTGTCTATTGTAGTATCTAATGCTTTCTTTTAAAAATAAGTAAAATAAATAATTTTAACAGATTTCTTGGTTATTTTTAATGTGTATATAGTATATATAGTTTTCCTATTATCACAAAAAAGTATGTTATATCATATGAATACCATGAATACCATGAATACATACTTAGTTATGCTGTTTTATTTCTCTTATTCAAGAAGAATTTTATGTCACTTTATAACTTGTCTTAATTCCTAAGTAAAACTACAGTTTTGTCCCAAATTTATGTGCACAGTTAAATACTGTCTAAAAACTTAGTCAAAAATATAATATTTAATTTTATTTGAGGTTTTTATATTTTATATAATTTAACATAGAAATTAAATCTATGCAAAAGAGGTCCACAGTTAAATTTTATGACAAAAGAAATAAATTTTCCATTTTTTTCCTTCTTTTTGTCTAGCTCAACAGAGAAGTCATTTCCTTGGAGATCAACAGGTATGATTTTTTATTATATAAACAAAGTAGTCTCTTTATCTTTTCTCCTTATCCTAAATTCACCACATATGAAGCATGAGTTAAGGAGAATGTCTACCACTTTCACAAATATTTGGTGTCTTCATACTCAGTCTCTATTCCATAAATGTTCACTGAGCCCCCACACCATGTGCCCGGCACTGCACACATTGCTGGGCAGACAGTGATGGGCACTGCACATATGTCCTCTGTCTCCCTTGCCCCAGGGAGCATACGTTGTAAAGGATAATGCCAACCGTGTTAATAATGCTGGAATAGGCCTTGATATCTAAATACTTTGGCACTTTTCAAACAAGGCTTGAGTTGAAGAAGACTTAGATCACCAAATGCCCAGTATCTGAGTTTACCTGAACCTGGCCCCAGGATTCTGGTGTTGTGTATAGTGCATGCAGGGCACTCTGCTATTTTACAAAGAAGCTATTTCCCAGAAATGCAGTATTTACTCAAACTGTTGATTAGGCAGAGATATGTGCAAAGCTACATAACATTAAGACTTATGAACAACAGTTTAATATCAGGAAAAACATACTATGAAATAATATGTAGTTAACTACCAAGTAAGTGTTATGTGGGAAACATTGTTCTAAATGGACAGCCCACTTCTGATATAGCTCTGCAGAGAAGATGGGCCTTGAGCCTCAGCTTGAAGGGTGGCCACGCTGTGAACAGGGCTTTGTCACTGGATAGGAGAAGGGCAACAGAAATGTTACCGGGGAACATTTAAAACTGGTTTAGCAGATGGTATAATGTGCAAAGGCTAATGCGCTGGATTGGGTCAAATTATAGATTTATAAGTACGAGGGACTTTGAACTCTGTCATTGTTCATGGGGAGATTCTGGAAATCCTTTAAGCAAAAAAAAAAAAAAATCACATAATTTAAACTTTCCTGAGGAGAAACAGCAGAGCTATGGTGGGAAGAAGAGTTAGTGGCAGGAAAGAGCAACTGAAAGCTGATTGCAGAATTTGGTGTGTGAGATCATCTAACTAGGTAATTCCTAAGGATTTGGAAACTGGTTTTTGGGTGGGAGGTAGACAACGGTAACTGTGAGGTTTTGAGTCAGGGAGGAAGGTAGTCCCATTAAAACAATTAGGAGAATCAAAATGGAGAGCCAGTGTTAGAGTGGTACTCTGGACTACAATGTTAGATGTGTTGGATTTGAGATGAAAGACAGCAAATGGTGACAGCAATAAGAACTTAGAAGTGTGATTACTAAAGAAAGCCCTTAATCGAATGTGAAGAAAAACACTTCTGTTAAACTGATAGATCCATGCACACTAATATGTGATTCAGACATGTGGGCCAAAGAGCTGTGGATAAAGGACAACTACATTAGAGAGAGCAAGGCTGAAACCCAGGAGAGCAGCATATGCCATGAGAAAGCTGCGGCTTTTTATTCTTGGGAGTTAATGAGAGAGTGATCTGAAATCTGACCAGGGCTGACAAGAGTCAGTTGAGCTGCTGTGTTCTTTCCCCACTTTTTCTCAGCATTCAAGGTCATTACTGAGGCCAGGAGCTGTGCGTGCTCTGTTCAGTGAAGTATGACCTTGAGGTGGTAGACCCTAGGTAATTCACCGCCTGAGTGAATGAATATATGCATATATGAATGAATAATAAATGCTGCTTTCCACTGTCACAGGAATATTTGTATGTGTGTATTAGCTTCACAACTAAATTCTAAGCCTTTGGAAAGTATCTTTTTTCTATCTGCCTCAGTGCCTAGAAAGTGCCCAGCTTTTAGCAGGCATTGAAAATATACTTAATGAGTAAATGTGATGAATATTTTCATTTAGTAACAAAATATTCATTTTGGAAAAAATATACACAAAGAATTTATAAATTTTTTTTTAAATCACAGGAGCTTTTTTGGATTCTTAACTTGACTCACAGTGCACTTAAAACCTTTACAGCCTAATAGGACATTTACTACAATTTTGCAAGTCTTTCTTTCTGCATTGCATATTTGGCATACATGCATGCAAACTGAATTTTTTTGTTGCCTTTATAGCTTTTTCTTTCTTTATATTTAATATATAATATAAATTTCTTTAATTGCTTTATTGAGAGAGAATTCACACATACCATACAGTTTACCCATTTAAAGAGTCCACTTCAATGTTTTTTAGTATAGTTAGAATTGTGCATCTATCACCACAATCAAATTTAGAACATTTTCATCACCCCTAAAAGAAACTACATATCAATTAGCACTCACCTTTCCCCAAACCTACCAGTCTTAGGCAACCACCAATCTACTATCTTTCTTTATGGATTTGCTTATTCTAGACTTTTCAATTAAGTAGAGTTATATGACATGTGGTCCTTAGTGACTGGCTTCTTTTACTTGGCATGATCTTTTCAAGATTTATCTGTGTTGCAACATGTATCAGTAGTTAATTCCTTTTTAAATTTGAATAATATTTCATTGTATGAACATAACACATTTATTCATTCATCAGTTAGTGAACATTTAGGTTGTTTCTACTTTTGGCTGTTATGACTAATGCTTCTGTGAACGCTCATGTACAAGTTTTAGATGTGTGTTTTCATGTCTCCTAAGTGTATACCTAATAGTGGAATGGCTAGGTCATCCCTAAGTCTATGTTTAACCATTTAAACAACTACTAGATTAGTTTACAGAGTGGCTGTACCATTTTACATTTCCACCAGTAAAAAATAAGTGTTCTGATTTCTCCACATCCTCTCCAACACTTGTTATTATCTTTTTGATGATAGCCGTTCTAGTGGATGTTAAGTAGTATCTCGTTGTGGTTTTGATTTACATTTCCATGATGGCTAATATGCCTTTTTTCCTTTGGTTAATTTTTTAGTTTTAGTTCTTGTTTTATTTTAACTTTACCAGCTACCTTCATATTGGCTTTTTTATAAACTTTTTAAAAATAATTTTCCTCCTGATTTTAAATGTAATATATACCTATCAGAATATATTTGGAAAATATAGGAAAGTATAAAAAGAAATTAAAATTATTTATAATCATTCTCATCACTTAGTCTTTCTATGCATTTATGTGTGTTACACATTTTTTTTTCCTTTTAAGCAAAATTGGGAACATACTGTATAGGCAATTATATTGGTTTGCCAATTTTTTTATGTTATACTATGTCATAAACACATGCCACTTAATATAAAATTCCTTAAGTTCATCTTTAATACTGCATAATTAATTTATTCCAGAAATATTTCCTGAGAGTCTTAAACACTTGTCTAGCGCATAATTGTCAGTGTTTAAAGCAAACATCCTTGCCCTCTTAAGACCTTCAGGTTTAATGGCGGTGAACTGTAGTTGAGATGTGTAACTATATACACTTACAGTTAGGGTAGAATGCTATAAGGGAAAATTACAAGTGTCTACCATATTTACTCATTCTCTATTATTGAACATCCAGCTTGTTTCTAATTTTTCACTATTATATTAATAAATAACAGTGTGATAAACTTCCCAGTATATAAAATTATATCAGCACCTTTGATTTACCTTAGGCTAGATTTTTAGGAAGAAAATTATTTAAAGTACTTGAATATTTTTAATGCTTTTGCTATATGTAACCAAGTTGCTTTCCTGAAAGATTGTATTAATTTTCCTTCTTTCCAGGTGTTATTAATATATGAGATAGATCCTCTCATTACTGTCGTCATTTGTATTTCTAATTAACTGGGGAAACATAAAAGTACCCTATAAATTGCCCTTCTCTTTTCTCTTGGAGGGTTAGTGTTTGATAGCTAAGAATTCTTTGTGTAACCCAGGGATAGTAGCTATATTTATCAGTCAGGGTTCAGTTGAGAAAACAGAACCCATGCCAGGAATTTGATACAGAAAATTTGTAGTTATGAGTGTGTGGGTTGGAAGATTTAATTGAGTAAATAGGATGATGAAGCACCCTAGAGATTAATGATGCCAGGAAGCTGCTACCATCCCTAGGACTGTAAAGGTAGGTGGTTTTGTCAGTCCTGGAGCTGGAGCATTAGGGGTGGGGGGAGGGCATGCAGGGGGAGGTTTCCAGCATTAGCTGAAGCCAGGAGGGAGATACAGCCCCTGTCAGAAATGCTGTGTAAAGTAGAGCCAGAGAAACATCCCAACTTCTCCATGCATTTCTCCTCCTAACCCGTACCAGTCTGTGCACTGGCTGAACTGAGCTGGAGAGGGTAGTTGTGGATTTTAGACTATCAAAAGCCAGACAGACACTGTGTATAATTGTCTATTGATTTACAGGGTAGACAGAATAAGCTCAGATTATGAAGACACATGATAAGAGATGAAATATCTGGGGCCTTGGCCTCCTTTCTACTCCCCCTTTCCATATACTTCCAAAGCTTAAATTGTTTGACCACTGTCTTCAGGGTTTTTTTCATAGCCAAGTAACCAATATACTATTATGTGCTTAGTATTTTCCTTTAAATTAAAATTTTCATATCCCTTTTCTTTTTACTTTTCATCACTCTGGTAGTCTGGCAGTCAGCTTACTGATGTGTTAAACATATGCAAAATGTACATAATACACAAGCATTAAATATGTTTTAACTTAAATGCATAATTAAATGTTATTCAAATAGCTCCCCAAATACTTGAGCGTTTATCTCTGTTCACCACAGCTGTGTCCATAATTCCCGCCTAATAACTGCATGGTCCCTTATTTTTCTCAGAGCACACTCTTGCCCAAAACTCACATTCAAGCCTAGAACTTACACTTACTTATCCTTCTTTCCTATGGGGGCAGAGGGAGGGTATTAACTTCCAAACACAGTAGTCATGATTGGTATTCCCTCTATTTTCTAACTCTATTAATGTTTTTTTTTCTTAAATTTGCCTACTTTTCGGTCATATTTATGGCATTTCAATTGTAACTATAACAATAAGCTATAGTTTATAAGGTTAGAAAATTGAACATTTATTTTGTGAATCAAAAAGTCTGAATTTTTTGTGTGGTTTTTTTTTTTTTAGT